CAGCACAAATTGGTTTCATCAAATTTGTCCTCATTCCAATGTTTCAAACGGTGGCAAGTGTAAGTGTTTACAACCTTATTTTCGATTATATTTTATGTAAATTGTTCTTATTAATCCGATCAGATTTGTATAGAAATAAATACAACCAATGAAACTAGAAAGTAATGAACAGCTTTCTAGTCTTAGTACAGAATTTCTTAGTAGTGTACATCTACAACCTGTTGAAGATCCAACTCAAAGCCTTCAGGTTACATGACAAGCCTTTGAATTGTAGACCACTAAATCATCACTGGTGACAATTCCCGCACTAATATGGAATAGGTTACAAGTTTTCCATTTCTTTTACGGTTGTTTAAGTCATGTCAATCTATGATCTAAACTGTCAAGTTTAATCATCTCCATGGTATTCCATATATTTAGTTGAATACACTATACTACTCATTAAAAAATATCATCGAAAGAATTATTGCAGAAATTTTTAAAAACAGACCAGATAATTGTATGAATTATGTATATATAGTTCATTACATAATTGTTTTAAATAATGTGTTTATTCAGATGATAATTTTTACTAATGATGTCCACAATAGACGGAAGGATAAGTTGAATTCATGAGTCTGTTAAAGCTAGACAGCCATGGAAAACCTGCAAGCACTAAACGGCCGTTTCGTCCTAGTATAATACCGATAGGTCGTAGGTTCGAATCTCGCAAGACGGGATCGTGTATGTACACTGCTAAGGTGTCCCATACTAGGATGAAATGGCCATCCAGTGCTTCCAAGTTTTCCATAGTGGTCTAGCTTCAACTGACTCATGATCTCAACTAGTGAGATTATTATGTATTTATAGAAATTTTCTTTAGATAAATCGTTATTATAAACCTCAATTTCAAGCGTATCGAATTTGTGTGTTTGAACACTTCAGTTGAATAAACGATAATTTATTAATAAGAGAAGTCAAGGGTTCTCTATAAGAAATGGAACAGAGTAAAGATATAACTGAATGACGGTTATGAATGGAAGTTTTTAAAATGAAGTTCAAAAGAATCAGTTTCATGAGGATACAAAATGACTTCTACTTGGGACATAGTGAATACAAAAAGTGAATAAATCTCTTTTATACACATTAGTTTCAATGGATATCAATGGTATTGACCATGTAGAAAAGATTTATTCATTTAGTTTTTAATAACGGACACTGGAAACTATGCAAGACCTTTCCTCCATACAGGGTTTTCATCTATCAAATGAACAATACTAACATTATTTACTAATTGTTTAAAGTCTTTTCATCATCAAGAAGCTTCACGTTCTTGTGTATGCAAGGATTATGCCCATTTTGATGGAGTTTTGTTCTCTTAGTTGGATGGTTCGGTCATGGAGTTTTCATAGTGCTTCTGAACGACATCATCAGCACAAACTTCAAATAGAATCCATCCACCTGAGATACAGATCTTCTCCACCCTCTCAAGTGTTATACCCTTTGAACACGGCCTATGTACCCAACCCTACAGTAGTTAATTTGATAAATATATATTAATAAACTTATCATCTTTTACTATTGTACCAGTATATGCGTTTTTCAGATGACATCGAACTTAATGATAGTGAACTTAAACTAGTGGAGATTTGTAGCTCAGGTAGATGATATTGACGGCGTTTTGTTCTCTGAGCTGGATGGTTTGGTCATGGAGCTTTCATCGTTCTTCTGAACGACATCATCAGTACAAACTTTAAATAGACGTGAAGCGTTCAAATTTCTCCACGTGTGGTTCACAGCTTGCCCTATCTGCAATCAGGAAAATTATGCACAAACATAAGAACAAAAATCAAACCAATCGAAGATACAACCGAAACAAAGAAGTAAACAATGAAATGTTTAAGGTCAATAAGAACCAATCAACATCTAGGTGTACAAGACAAGCTGTGAATCACAAGTGGAGAATTTCGTACCCTTCACTTCTACCTGAAGTTTGCGCTGATGATGTTGTTCAGAAGAAGAACGATGAAAGCTCCACAATCAAACCATCCAGTTCAGAGAACAAAACTCTATCAAAAATGAACTTGAACGTTATGTCATAGCTACATCACCTTTAATTTAAAGTCTTAAGTCGACAGTTTTCTTATTCAGTTTTCATATACTCATGTATATACGCTTTATCTATTTTGTTTCTATGTTTTCCTATTACGTAATTCATATTTGAATGAAATTTCCATTAAGGTTTATCCAATTATTGATGAACTTATGGTAACTCAATTGAAATCAGCATTAGAACGTTATGAAAAGATGTTGGCTGAAGAAGAAGAAACAAAACGTAACTTACAAATGAATGAAGCAGATTAATACTTTAATAAAAGACATGCTGAACTGATACACGAACACACACACACACACATGCACACTCACATGGATACAATCAAGAATTTTGTATACGTGAACATAAAGGTGATCATTTTTGGCTTCCATTCTCAACTTAATAACATAATCATGTTGTCTTTTCCAAATAATTGTCGTTTTTCTTTTGTAAAAAACTACTTAGAAAAACTGTAACTAGTGCACTTGGCTATCAGAACTCAATATCTGAGTGGATAACGCGAACATTACCGGGTTCAGGTTCCAAAGTGAACATCAACTCTCAAGTGCAGGTACATTCAGCTGATGAGTCCCAAATAAGACGAAACGCATGTCAAACTGGATTCCATTGTTAACCACTATCCATCTTTGTTTATAATGCTTGTGAATTAAGACAATTTTGAGGCTATCCGCTTAGGATGCACATATGCCAACAAGAGACTGATCAATTGCAGTTCTACACAACAATGAGAAGATACAAGCAAACATTACCAAGTTAATGTAACTAGTGCAGTTCATTTATGTCGGGATTGAGACATGTATCTTAGATAAAAATGAATATGAATCACAAAATACAACGAATTAATTAGAGTCGAGAATATTCTATATTGAATAGCCGATTGTGTCACTAAAATACAAAATAAAAACAATTCGAGGGGGGGAGAATTTACTTCTCAACGAGATCATTTACTTAAGTTGTACATGCACATCTACAGTTGTTTGGCAAATATATAGGTCTGGAGAAGGATAGAAAAGATTGCATCATCAAGCGATTCAAGACTTCAAATATCAAATATGGTTACGTAATAATCACGGAGTCAGAGAAGTATAGGTAAATGAAAATAACTTATGGGTCAGAATTATGAAGGATAATTGTCCGCTTGATAGATATGAAGAATCAATGAAAAACATAATGGTCATTATAGTAACTGAATGATGATCATGAAAAATTGTTAAAGGATAACAATAACTGATTACGATGGAGTTTTTTCCTCTGAGCTGAATAGTTTGATCGTGGCGCTTTCATCACTCTTCGCAGCGACATCATCAGCACAAACTTCAGGTAGAAGTCTCCACGACCAAACAATCCAGCTCAGAGAACAAAACTCAATCAAAATCATGCACCTGAGCTACAAATCTTTTTCACCATCTCATAACTGATTACGTTTTGCAATCAAAAAATATTGATGAAAACGATGATGCATAAACCTATCACTTTTCAAACTCATCTCATAACATTATCTGGTGTTGTTTCTAAAATGAGAATGCATAACAATCACTAGTGCAATACAAGAACACCTGATCAATTCTGGACACGTTGCTTGAAAGAAGTTTTCATCCAGAATAATCTACATAACCCAAAGAGCTGAGTCGAAGAGAGGTTGAATCAAGAACTTATACACTGTTGAGACGTTGACGATCCACCAAATAAAGTCCGAACTCTGCGAGTTAAAACAATATGTCAAGCCTCTCATCATTCCTTTGCCCTGATTCTCTTTTTTAGTATGTTTTGGTCTTGTTTTATTAATCGTCTTTAAATTATAAACTGCAATCAGCTATTATTAACCTTTAACAATCATCATGCTCATCATCTAGTTACTATAATGACCATTATGGTTTTCATTGATTCTTCATATCTATCAAGCGGACAATTATCCTTCATGATTCTGACCCATAAATTATTTTCATCCACCTATTCTTCTCTAACTCCGTGATTATTATGTCATCATATTTGATCTTTGAAGTCTTGAATCGCTTGATGATGCAATCTTTTCTATCCTTCTCCAGACCTATATATTTGCCAAACAACTGTAGATGTGCATGTACAACTCAAGTAAATGATCTTGTTGAGAAGTAAATTTCCCCCCCCCACGAATCCACCTTATTTTCATTAAACAATCAATAAATTAATTATAAGGTAGAGTGTTTTCAATCAGTTCTGGTAGGTGTTGAGTTCAATCCCTCCAAGGTTTCGAGTGTAAAGGGAGCTGAGAAGTTCTATTCTAAAATGAAATAGCTTTCTAGTGCTTCCTAAATGTACATTGGTCGACTAACTAAACATCGATTACTGATATTAACCACAAAAGTTAAGACGTTTGCTCGGTGGATATAAGTTATGGCGGTCTTAGTTAAAGGTACTGGGTTAGGGTCTCCATGTGAACATCATTAGTGGGATGCAGACACGTCGAGGTGAAGCTTATCAAATGAATCGTGAGCCGTGGCTCCCACTTCTAGCCACTGTCCAACATTATCAAAGTACTTGTGGCTAGCTGATGACAGAGAGATGATTCCCTCCGAATGTGTGTATGAAAAAAGTGACTGACAGTCTACAATCCTTAACACTGACAACGGTAAAATACAAACTCCTACAAGCAAAATTTATTAAGAAAGACTACAATATTACCAACTTAAAAACAATTACCCTGATGGCCTCAAATGGTAGCTAACAATAAAAGCTTTCAGCTATTTTACATGCATCGTCAACATCATCCTCTTGTTGTTTCTGTTAAGTAGTTGAGAAAATAATAAATCAATGAACATGTTTCAGTGGTCTTATAATTTACAGTTCAAAATATTTGTTGAAAGTTTTGACTACTTAATTAGTCATTTAAGTAACATAAATTGAAATGTTAAAATGTACGGGACAGTTAAAAACCTCGTAATATTGGTCGAAATGCCATTGAAGCAATTCCACACATATTCCAATTGTTACGAAGTACTTTCACGTAACCTTGTTCACCCCAATTTGTTCCCCAATTATTTTGCAATATCCAGTAATCGTTACCATCATTATCATAACCGTAACCAACAAGTAACATACTTTGATTTAAATTATAATGTGTACATGTATCAGATTGATATATTCCTGACCTGAAAAAAAAAGTGGATTACAAACTGAACTTATTGTGAGACGATTTCATATCTGAGTCGTAATTTTCTTAAACACTGACAAATCGAATAGGAAATTGATACATTCAGATGAGGTTAAGATTAATAAAATTAGAGACTACCAGAATAAAGTTATTTAATTAATTGGATCCCGGTTCAGTGATCTAGAATTTGAGCGTTCACATGTGAAGCTGAGAGTCCTGGGCTCGGTCCCTAGTCACAAGATCGTAGGCGAAACGGCTGTCCAGTACTTCCATACTTTCTATGATGATCTAACCAAGATTAACCAAGGGATTCAAAACCCATGAAAGCTGTACCATCTCCACCAAACCCTACACTGGAAATGAATTAAATTTTCGGTTGGTTAGATAATTTATTTACCATCAATAATTGACTGAGATCAAACATGTAAACATCCAAAGCTAAATTCAGTGTTCTAAAACTTAGTGTACTAATTGAGTACTCATTATTGAGTTTAAATCATCCGTGGGTTCACAACTGTTCTAGGATAAAGACTTCGAATCTACTTGTAAACAAGTGATAAATGTTATAAAGTGCATCCCCTAGTCAATAAGCAAACATAACAATATTTTAGCTTCACAATGAATGTGTTCATATTTCTAAAATCAATTAATTAACAAAACTGTTTGTTATGTTCGTTAACTTGAATGCTACTACTGATTCGTCTTACTCGGAACGGAACGAAAAATCAAGGATTTAGAGACTCGATAGGCTATACTGGTCCGTTGTCCCCGACTCAGCTAACTCGATCCAGAAGTCTTGGTAAGATGTAGAAAGTGTATTCTACAGACAACCAGAAGATACCAGGACCCTCAAGCACACAAATCAAGCGTATTTATACAAAATATATATGGTCGACATTGCCATGGAAGTTTTTAAACATTTAATCGATAAGTTTTGGTTGAGATCATGAATTAATTGATGTCAGACCACCGTTGGAAACCTGGAAGCACTGGATGACCGTTTCGTCCTATTGTGGGACTCAGTGGTCCAGTTGGTTAAGCGTTCGCGCGCGAGACCGAAGGCCCTGGGTTCGAATCCCGCTCGTGGGATCGTGGATGCGCACTGCTGAGGAGTCCCACAATAGGACGAAACGGCCGTCCAGTGCTTCCAGGTTTCCAACGGTGATCTAACATCAATTAATTCATAATCTCAACCAAAACTTAACAATCTCCACAACCCCCATACTGACATTTAATCGATAAGTTCGTCAATCGACTTTGTGCGTGGGTGATAAGAAATGCCTATGCATACATCTGTATACAAGCTCCATAAAGATAAAATTACAAAATATGAGTTTTGGGGATCTAACGTCCCCAACACTGTCTAAAAGAAAAATTATCATTCACACCAATCAAAGATATCTATCTTACTAAGATTAAACAATTTTCCTCTACGTCCTACTTTTCAATGTTTATCTATCTAAAATTCTGTTCATGTTACGAACACTCTTTGAAACTATGTAATTATAACGATTCTTTCATGCACATGGTCGCCAGAAATCACCAAACTGCATCACAAGGCAAGCACTAACTTAGAATCCTGAAGGGAAGCGGAAAAAAGGAAGGCCAAAGAACACATTAAGTCGGGAAATAGAAACAGATATGGAAAGGATGAATAACAACTAGAAATGACTGGAAGGGATTTCCCAAGACAGGGTTGGATGGAGAGTACTGGTGGGTGACCTATGCTCCTCCACAAAGAGTAACAGGCATAAGTAATTAAGTTTCATGCACATTATTTCCAATACAACAGATAAATCTCCTTTGTGAATTTCAATCTCTCTCTGTCTCTCTCTCTCTCTCACACACACACACTTACGTTATGATGAATATACTTACTTATAATGTAAAAACTTTTCATCAATATTCATAGAAATTACATATGGACCTTCATTGTACACTGCCCATTTCAAAATTGTTTCATAACCATGTCGATGAAATTTATAACCAATCGATTGAACAATCACATCTGAACTATTTGCTAGACAATCTTGATCCTTGAAAAAAAAAACGTTTACAAAAACAAATAAACAAACCGATCAGCTACAATGAAAATCGCAATCATATTTACAGAGTTAACAATAAATTGATTAGATACTCTTCTTACTGGATTATTTAAAGGATGAAATATCAATGAATGAAGATTAAATTAAATTCACTTGGTGTTGTTCCCTTGTATCTTTCCATTGTTGTATAGAACTGCAATTAATCAGTCTCTTGTTGGCATATGTACATCCTGAGCGAATAGTCTCAGTATTGCCTTAATTCACAAGCATTATAAACAAAGATGGATAGTGGTTAGCAATGAAATCCAGTTTGACGTACATTTCGTCCTATTCGAGACTCACCAGTCAGATGTACCTGCATCTGAGAGTTGATGTTCACTATGGGACTCAAACACAGAACCTCTCGCTTACACAAGCAAGTGGTCATCAGGACTCACTATCTAGGTGGATAACTTGATGGTGTTTGAAGTGAGCAGTACTGGGTTCAAGTCCTGGAGTGAACATCAACTATGTGTGGCAGATACATCCAACCGATGAGTCTCAAATAAGACGAAACGCACATCGAACAGGATTCCACTACTAATCACTATCCATCTTTGTTTATCTTTTGGTAAGTATTCACAAATTCTGTTAAATATACTTTTTGTTGTTGGCCAAAGTAAACGGTACTTCTGATCCTTTCTAAATAAATTAGAAAAAGAACAAAACTGATTTGGCAGTTAATCAATATTGTTATGATTAACAACCATCTACTATTTAAAACTATAAGCTTATCAATTTCTTTGTTAATTTTAAACCAGACTGAAAATAAACTACTTTTTTATAACAAAGAAATTCACATTCAACAGACTCATTCAATGAGGTTTCATCTAGTTTTACATCCATTTTATTCAGTCGTTTATATTAGATAATCAATTCTCATATATTTTAACGAGTATAATAACAGACAATGATTGAAGTGAAACTCTAGTTATTTTCATTTTCATCAGTCGATCTATGACAACCACTGAAAGACTGAAAGCACTGGATAGCCGTTTCGTCCTAGTGGGAGACTCTTCAGCAGTGTGCATTTATGATCCCACATAAGAGATTCGAACCCGGAACATTCGGTCTCATGTGCAAACGATTAACCTCTAGATTAGTGAGCCAGCATCGGATGGTGTTAATCAATTATTATTGAATGAATAAGATATAAGAATTACTAGTCATTTATTATTGAACAATAGTGAGTTAGTTTAAACTGTTACACTGAAATGACCGGCTTTTATCCAATATAACCTTTGCTTATATGAACAATACTAAATTAAAGATCAACATCTTTCATTCATCAGAGAGTCCTTCTTCAATTCTCTCTCTCTCTCCCAATCAGATGGAATAGTTAGATTATCTACCTATTGAGTATTCAAATTACATGAATAATTGAAATTATTATACAATAGAATTATAGGGTCGTTTACGAGGAATAATGAACAGTCTCTTCATTCATAACAGATTGATTATCATTTTCAATATAAACAAACTATCCAAGCTAATTATGTTCACCGAGAAAACTGACAGTTATTGATTGAGATCTTGATCCGATTAATGTTAGACTACCATTGAAAACGTGGAAGAACTAGACGGCTGTTTCGTCCTATTTCAGGACTCTTCAGGAGTGCATCTCAAAATAGGACGAAACAGTCGTCCAATGCATCTAGGTTTCCAATAGTGGTCTAACATTAATCGATTCAAGATTTGAATCAATAATTTAATAATCTCCACAACCCTATACTGATAAAAACTAACAGTGTTGCTGACTTTGAACGTTTTACCGGAGTCTTAAGGTGCCTATAGATTTAAAGCACTAAACTAAAAGGAAAAAAGTTTGTCTAATGTTACCTGATTCATGATTAGAATTGAAAGTCACATTCATAAGCATACTCCATATCAATTAAAAGTTATGCATAATGTTAAGTATTAGTGAATGAAATCAATTATTTCCAACTTACCTCACCCGTAAAAGGATAATTCTCTTCTGTTTCTAATCCAAAATTTTGTAAATAAATAAACAATGTAAATGTGTAACCACCATGACATCCCATATTACCATATATACGTGTACAATCAATAAACTGTTGTACAGAAAAGTTTTTTCGATAAGATGTACGTAAAGCATATTGAGATTCAGTTACAGCTGTTACAGCAAATGCATAAGAACCAATGCATGAACCCTGACAGATGAAAACAAATTAGGTAATAAAAAGAAGAAAACAGTATACATGCATAGATAGATAGATAGATAGATAGATAGATAGATAGATAGATAGATAGATAGATAGATAGATAGATAGATAGATAGATAGATAGATAGATAGATAGATAGATAGATAGATAGATAGATAGATAGATAGATAGATAGATAGATAGATAGATAGATAGATAGATAGATAGATAGATAGATAGATAGATAGATAGATAGATAGATAGATAGATAGATAGATAGATAGATAGATAGATAGATAGATAGATAGATAGATAGATAGATAGATAGATAGATAGATAGATAGATAGATAGATAGATAGATAGATAGATAGATAGATAGATAGATAGATAGATAGATAGATAGATAGATAGATAGATAGATAGATAGATAGATAGATAGATAGATAGATAGATAGATAGATAGATAGATAGATAGATAGATAGATAGATAGATAGATAGATAGATAGATAGATAGATAGATAGATAGATAGATAGATAGATAGATAGATAGATAGATAGATAGATAGATAGATAGATAGATAGATAGATAGATAGATAGATAGATAGATAGATAGATAGATAGATAGATAGATAGATAGATAGATAGATAGATAGATAGATAGATAGATAGATAGATAGATAGATAGATAGATAGATAGATAGATAGATAGATAGATAGATAGATAGATAGATAGATAGATAGATAGATAGATAGATAGATAGATAGATAGATAGATAGATAGATAGATAGATAGATAGATAGATAGATAGATAGATAGATAGATAGATAGATAGATAGATAGATAGATAGATAGATAGATAGATAGATAGATAGATAGATAGATAGATAGATAGATAGATAGATAGATAGATAGATAGATAGATAGATAGATAGATAGATAGATAGATAGATAGATAGATAGATGGCCCAAATACTTTAGTGAATAAGTTACTGAGTATGGTTGTAGTTGGTTAAGTCTTTGATCTGACTAAAAATATCATTTCCCCTAATATTACAAACCACATTAAACTGAGATTGATGGTTTCCAGTAGGTTGCATCTAACCACTTAGGAACACCTAGGTGAATTTTAATGAAATATCAAATGGGGTAAAGTCAGATACATGTACCTAGAAATTTACAATATCACAGAAATTATGACTTTTCAGTATTTAATTTACATAAAGAACATATATAAATATAATCATTATTGTTGGATGTCAGTCATGGCTCGGATAGCCCAGTGATAACATCTTTGACTGTGAAGCTGGTGACACAGGACCGAATACGTCAGGGAGCACCAGTTCCCTCAAGATTAGAAGGCACACCTTGCTGACGAGTGCCAAATAGCACAAAAATCGGATTCAAGGTTTCCTGTTGACTACCTCCAACCACCATCTTATCTCATTATTGTTACTTAATAAGTAATTAATTAACATCTTACTTCATCTCTTGGTTCATTCACAATATTCAAATGACGCCAATCATATGAATCCGGTGTCCAACCAATATTATTCACATCATAATCTTCTTCAATAAAAGATGATTCAGGAATGATTATTCTTTTGTCAACTTTATACATTGAACAAAATTCATTCCATTCAATATCGGTAAATCGACTTAAACCAATAGAATATGTTTCAAAGCCTAAATCATAACGTAAATTATGCAATTGAATTTTGATTAGATTCTTATTCCAAATTCTTTGTCGAATCAATTCTTCATTTGGATCATTATATTGTTTAGTATATAGAGATTTCCATTTCTTCCATAATTCATTGAATTTCAATGTTCTATTTGAATGGACATTATATGATAATATAATCAGTAGTATTATGATGAACTTCATTGTAAATGTCTTCAGAAGAACTTCGTGATGACGTTATAGTTCATCTATATAAATGTACATTTATACATGTAAATATAGTCTGAATTGATTGTGTACTTTGAGATATGTACGCTGAAACACTTGTGAATGGTGATTAGGAAAATGATGTGTTTCATAGAAATGAAGGATATGGTGTGTGTGTGTGTGTGTGTGTGTGTGATTGCGTTCGACAAATTGTTGGACTTTATTCAATGAGCAGTACTTTTCATTGATTAAATAATTGGTTTTAGACTATTTAGAATTATTAAAGATTTTGTTTGAATATATATATATGTATTACGAAAGGCTTCAATCGATCACAGTGAAGTACTCAGGAAAGCACCTAACCATACTGATGGAGGACCTAAGCACCAAAGTCAGAATGGACAACATTCGGTATCAAGATATCATGGGACGATATGGACTGATTGGAAGTAACCAACGAGAATAATGACAGATTTGTGAATTTATGAGCATTCAACGAAATGGTTATAGGTGACACAATATTCACACACAAACCCATTCAAAAAGCTACATGGGTCAATCTCATCGGATTACACTACAGAGAACCAGATCGATCATATTTGCATCACTAAAAAAGTCAGAAGGTCAATGGAAGATGTGAGAACAAAGAAAGAAGCTGACATAGTTTTAGATCATTATCTACCTGGTGGTTTTGTAGATGAAACTGAAGCTAAAGAAGCACTGGACAACTGGAGAAACAGAATTACAAAGGATCGATACAGACTTCCTTCAAAATACTGACAAACTCGATCAACAACAGGTTCAAAGCCTTACAGAATATACTGAAAGAAGATAAGGAAACTATTATAAAAGAAAACGTGTCAGGAGGTGACGGGAGGCGGCAACGAACACCATCATAAGGAATACATCTCTATCGAAACCCTGGACAAGATCCAAGAAAGGAATGATAAGAAGACAGTCGAACAAGAACAGAGAACATTAAGGCATTAGCTGAATACACAGAATCAAACAAGTAAGTGAATAGGAGTACTCGAGCTGACAAAGAGAAATACGTAGAAGACCTAGAAACAACATAGATCAGATTCCGTAAAGATCGTTCGTGAAAAGGTCAAATCACGATACTATGGATCATCGTTGGACAATCAATTGAATGCAACTCACCACTATGTATCAACTTCATTGACTATGAGAAGGCGTATGACAGTGTGGATAGGAGAAACTTGTGGAACAATCTTCGACACTACGGAGTGAGTAACTAAGAAGATCGTCAACATCATTTGGAATTCAGATGGCGGAATATACTGCAAAGTTATGCATGGACGACAACTGACCAAACGCATTCCAAGTAAGGACCGGAGTCAAGCAATGCTAATTACTAACTCGTGCTTCTAACTCATGTATTAAAGCATCAGAACGACCAATTAAGTACTTTTCTTTAATTTGAGTCTGAAAATTCTTGAGATTATATACATAAAATTTCAACATTAAACCAGAGAAAGATGATAGTTATTAGTAAAAAATAACTCAGTTCTATCCTAACTTTGTACTGAAGATGTTGTCTAGAAAGACGATGAAATCTTCACGAATAAACTATTCAGGTTAGAGAATGAAATTCCATCAAAAAAATACCTCAAAAGTTGTATATACACCGACGTTTTTTATGTAGCAGCTTCCGTTTATCGAAATGAAGTATAAATTATGCATCTCAGTCCTACAGGAGGTTGGTCGCGGCCAGGATAGCTCAGTGATAATGTCTCTGACTGTGAAGCTGGGTGACACGGGATCGAGTCCGTCAGGGAGCACCAGTCTCTTTAAGATTACAGGTACACCTTGCTGACGAGTGCCAAGTAGCACGAAACCCGGGTCCAGGTATTCCTGTCGACTACCTCCAACCACCATTTAATATTTTCACTTTATTTTATTTTCTTAACAGTTTGAGAGCCTTAGTTCAAAATAATTCAAGGCGTAGGTTTAGTACAATTTCAATAGAATAATATTTATTTCTTGTTCAGTCGCTGAGCCAGCGCTCGCTTTCAGCTAGGATACGGGAACACGTCCTAGTTCGGTTCTACAAGGGTGAGAGGAAAGCAGTTAAGAGTTCTATACTTGAATACCGAATCAACTGTAATCATTCAACGGATCCACAGTTTGATTTTAAGGTTGTATATATGATTCATTCAAATCTACCTAGATTTCTTCGTATCCAACTCCTTAAAATAACCGAAACTCTTACCATCCATGAGCTCAAACTAGAACTATGAGTACAAAAGGAGTACGTCTTATCGTTATCGTTACTTTGGCCTTAATTAGTATTATTATTATTACTACACTTCCCGCTTTACTGATGTGTCACATTCTCATTGTCCTATTCATAAGCGCTCATGATATCATTTTACTTATTCATTACACCTCTATTGTAACAGTAGCACTTTAATCATCTCATTACATTCAAGTTATAATTCCTTAATAACTTATTTCGTCTATTGTTATTATCCATATTGCGTAATCTAGTATTGTAATCTTCCTATTATGTCATCTTGATCATACCTTGTTCACATTTTAATTATAGAAGTAGTACTTTAACAATTGTACAGCTTGATAATAAATTCGTTGAAAAAAGAGAGATCCCTTCGTTGAACTGATATATCTATTTGAGTATTTAGACCATCGTATTACGTCCTTAATCTGTCTACCCACTTTTGGTGCTGAGGATAACTTGTCTAATCTAGATTAAGACCTTGACGAGATAGGCTCACTATCTTAACCTTGAGGCTAGTACGCGTGAGTTCGAAGTGAGGTAGAAAGAAGAAAACTATCCTGTCACCTGATTGGCTGACAAGCACGCGAGTGACAGAAGGCATGACAACCGGAATACTACTTGATTTATTCCCAATTTCTCGATTTCAGATTAATGTAAAAAGATACATGAATAAATAGATGACTAACCCGACCACAACGTACAATAATTAAGAAAATACAATCATGTTCAAAACTGGGGATTAGTGTAGAAAATAGGGTGAAAAATATTGTTTAAATTACAATAGCTTTGGAACAAAAAGGGATATGGTAATGAATGACACACCGAACGAAAGCTCATATTCTGTAGAATAAACTATGGACAAAAATAAATGTTACTGTTTTACAAGTATTGAATTAACTGCAATAACAAGAGGTCATTAGCAGCTCAAAACAGCTCAAAGATAACGTCCCTGATTGTGAAATCAGGTGAAATAGGATCAAATCAACCAGAGAGTATCAATTCCTTTAAGATTACTAACGAATATCATATAGCGATGAAATTCGGGTCCTGGATTTTCCATTGATTATCTTCAATCACCATATTACATCTACATATGGTCAATTCTATTACTTCAGTCAACTTTTGTTCATTTTTAAAACTTAATCTATGTTATGACTTTTATCATGTTAATTATCATCAATCTAAATACCTTATTCTTGTGCTAAACAAATGACATGTCAAAACAGCACTAGAAGCCTTGTGTCAATTCTGAATCCTTATTCGTCCTTCTTGCCTAGCTCTGCCCAATCGAGTCCAGAAAGCAATCTCAGCCTCTAATGTATAAATCATATATTTCAGATATAAGTACTTTATATACAAGCAAACCAGACCGCATTATACTATAAAATATAAAAAAGTAACACTTATACAAGATCAGTCCAAAAGTGACTGTGAGTGTAAGAGAATGTAACTAATTGATTAGAAATAACTTGAGAATAATAAACCATGTAGTAATAGTCAATAGATCAATTGAAAGCTTATGGTGAATGAAATATAAATGTACATAATCTAGTTACTTAACAGTCATATCCTGGTGCAGTGAAGGAGAACACAGATGAGGACAACCGGACCTTACTCAGCACATCACAGAGTTACTTGGTAAAATAGAAAAACCATACTATAATAACTAATTTGCAAAATGTTGAGTAACTGTCTCGGACTTCAGTTCTATACTAATTGCTTTCTATTCCCGTTCTTGCTTTTTTGATCTTCCCAATCTTTTGCTGCCAAACATTACATACCTGACTCGCGTCATATACTACTTATATCAATATGAGTAGCACACACCACATTGGGACATATCCATAATCTAATCTTATTCGATTACAACAGTTTATTTAGCTAAGAAAATCATTATCAGATACTAACGAATACTATTTAATGTGATTCTCAGGGTACGATACACATTCCAAAGCTTTAACTAAGAAAAGACTAATCTTCTCATATTTTAATTCCACATAAATAACTAAAGTAGTCGATTTCTTTCATTATATAATCAACTTATTGGAATTGAGAATAATGTGTGGAAGTTTTTCTCACGTCTTATGGTCTACCATCCGATTCAGTCACTGTATTTATTCATTAACTTTTGACTAACACATTAGGATAAGACCATATAGGAAGTTTGATTTCTAATATTTAATCATTTTAACACATAGATATTGGTACAGGGAGGCACCAAATACATATGCGCCACACAAATCTCATTCGATATGTGTGAGGGCTGTGATACTCTCCGGGTGCCCAAACCGAAGTAGGTGGTTTTCTTAAGGGGCCACACCCGGAGCCTTCGACCTGAAGGTCTGATCCACAAGGCAGTGGAGCATCGTAAGGAGATGCAGTCCCATAGTAGCCGGTGACCAACGATTGGTTTATACTCCATTTGTTCCTTCAGGATACTGGAGCCCATGTGAAGCATTGGTTTGGAATCAGGGTTTTCCAACTCCCCTAAGTGGACTCTCCGCATCCACCAACCCGGTTAAAGCGTCGAACATTCGCTTTTCGTCCTCTCATTTTCGTAAACAACAGTAGTGTCACGAGAGGGCAGTGAGTAGGACTTCCCTGGCAGAAGCTATATACTCGTGGTCATGCGAGAGCATTTCGAGAGGGAGAGAGGACTCTATCCACTCTCGGCCGTACCAGGGCATTTGTGGGCTAACGCATTAGGATAAGACCATATAGAAAGTCTGATTTCTAA